GGAAAAGAATAGCTAAAGAAATATGTGTGTGTGTGTGTGTGTGTGTGTGTGATCGAACAATTAATTATAATAATAAAATCCTTTTTTCTTCTCTCTATATATAATATTTTATATGTACAGGATAATACGCGTTAAATGTTATTTATTACAAAGAAATGAGTTTATACAAATGAGAGAGAGAGAGAGAGATATATATATATACATACGTATGCTCGTCGTGTAATAAATACTGAACATATTTGTTATGTGTGATGTATTTTCTTTAGCTTCGTTATAATTCGCGTTAATGCTTATAAAAAGCAATTTAATATTATTATTTATTTATTTATTTATTTATTTCTCCTTTTAAACTTTTATCGACGTGCATTTATTACGTATCGTATTTATTTCTTTCTTTCTTTCTTTTTTTTTTCTTTTTTCTTTTTGATGATGAAATCTAATATACACGTTTGAGCAATTATTTGTCCTAAATACAACCACGTCGAAATGCAAGAATGCAAAATATTTTGAAAGATAATGTGATTTGTTAGAACATTATCCCCCCTTCCCCAATCCCCTGAATGCTTAAACGTTTAAACTCAAGCGTTAAAAATTAATAATAATAATAATAAGAAGAAGAAGAAGTAAAATAAAGTTAATAAATAATAACGAAGCTGTTTGAAAAAAAGGACAGCTCGTCATACATATATATATATATATGTGTATATATATATATATATATATATGTATGTGTATATGATATATGCGAAACGTTAAGCAATGTTTTGTTTTTAGTTAGAAAAACCTTCTAATCCAAACCAGTCAGTTTCAATTAAATCACTAAATTCTGAAATACACGCTTTGTACAATCTGCTTCCACAAAAACGAGTGTGAATTCTACTTTTCTACTAACTCTATCCTAAACGATAAGAATCCCTTGAATACTTATTAAACGAAAATAGTTCACAAAAAAGAAAAAGAAAAAAAATAAGAGGACAATAATAAATACCTGCATACAATTACTTTTCCTATACGAATAAAACGTATCTCCTAAGCATGACGATTAGGTATACACAACATGTATCTGTGTGTAATAATATATAATATATTTATGATGTGTATGTAGGATTTTTTCTCGTTAATTTGGTATTACGAAGAAATAAAAAATATAATTAGAATTAGAATTAGAATTAGAAGTGGAAGTAGTGAAGACGAATAATAATAATAATAATAATCATCATCAAGAAAAATAATATAAATTCGTTAAACTTTGAGTGCCACTTGATTGGTTGTATATACGTAAGATACTTAAAAAGACTAAAAACGCATCAAATGTTAACTCCCAACTGATGTCTCGGGAAGAAAACTCCACTGAGACACGATATAATATAATCGATTATTTTATTAGCAATTAAATCATATATATAGATATATATAACCATTGCCCTTATAGATTCGCGCGCGAGGAAGAATAATAATAATAATCCTTTACCCCTTCGCTAATCTTCAATAAAAACAATTATACAACGTGATATGCGTTCCAAAGCATTATCACTGAAGAAATGCAGCAAACTTATTCGTAATAAATAAGACCAACACCGTACACAATATTTCATTGTTAAATATATTACATTACGAATAGAATAAATCGTTCCATTCGTATGTAACAACACAACAATATTCTTTTTCTTTTTATATATTTGAATACCCGATGATATAACTTCTTTTCTTTTTCCTTTTTTTTGTGATAATTTATTTAAATTGTAGACGATACTTTTCCGCGGATTAAGTTGGATAATTAAACGAAACAATTTAAATAAATTCGGATACCCAGATAAATCGGTCTCGTCAAAATATTCACGAGTTTTCTTTTTTTTTTTTTTTTTTTTTTTTTTTTTTTTGCAAATGAATTCGATGATACATATATATATATACACAACTATAATAACTACACTCAGCAAAGAGAGAAACGCATACGTATTTATATATAAAATTGTATGCTAAACTAGGTAAAATAGCCTATGGGGAATTTAATATTATGGGTATGTTGATTAGAGTGATTTACGTCCAGAGTTTAATTAGAGATATTTTATACATAGAAAAATAATGATGTGTGGAGAGATGAATTACTAATGAATGAAATAAATGCAACACTTATGGGAAAGCAACTTTTGAAAGGGGGAAAGAAGCGTGATGATTGAGAAGGTGTGATAATTACCTATAAAGTAGAAAACACAGAGAAAAAACATTGATGGTGTGGTGTGTTGTGTATGGATGGCGCGTATGTAAAAAAAAAAAAATATTTAACATTAATAGAAAAAAAAAAGAAAAGAAAAGAAAGAAAAAACAAATAAGTAAATACGCAACATACACATACATCAAAACCTATATGTACATATGCACATATTATATTAAAACAAAAACAAAAAAAAGTAGTGTGTCTATAATATATTATAAATATTATTATTAATAATTGAAAAACAATTAAATACAAGAGTTTAGATTACGTTACCGTATGATACACAATGGGTGTGTGTATGTGGGTATATGTGTGTGTGTGTGCGTGCTTGTGTGAATGTAAGATTGAGAGAAAGAAAGGGAAACTCTAAAATAATAATAATAAAAAAAGTAAAAACTAACGGAATAATAGTAATCAGGTAGTGTGTCGCAAATAATTCTATTCACTATTAGTAGATAATAATGCATAGGGCCGCGATAGCTGTTGGGTCCACGATAATTTAGCATCGTAAGTCTCTCGAGTGCCTTCATATCGAGAGCCACTACATTACAGGATTAATTATTGATGTAATATAATAGTGTCGTTTTTTCTTTCTACGTTGGTGGAAGCGAAGTTAGAAATGTTCTTCCTCATTTCTTTTTCCTTTTTCTCTTCTTTCTCTTCTCTTGTCTTTTTTTTTTCTTTTTTGTTTTTTTATTACTGGTAATAAAAATGATAATGATGATGACGATTATTTTTAATAATAATAATAATAATAATAATATTAATATTAATATTAATATAGTATTATTAATAATATATGTTATATGTATAATGATTGTACACAAATTAAACACACCGCTGTTAATTTTATTATCGTATTTTGGCAAAAAGATATTTAATCAATTCGATGGAACTATTCAATAATCAATTAATCGTATTTTGCATGTTTTTCTTTTTCTTTATTTGTTGTTTTCATTGCTCAACACATCGATAAGTATATTGTATACACATTAATACAATTGTACGTTTAATATGATCATTATTATATATGAGGGGTCAGATATTTAAAATGAATACGTCAGTTTAAATTTCCCGCTATATTGAAACGTACACATTGTATATGTCTAAACTTTTTGGCGCAAAATTTGATTTACATATATTATTACAATTAATATTGTTTTAATCTTTGCATTGATAATTCGCTAACAAAAAGGTCATATTTTTAGAATTATGCGTTTATTCGTATATAAAGTTATTTAATATTGTGTTCCATCTGATTAATTTTTATTTATTTTTTTTTTTGAATATTTTCTGAAAGAGATGATCGAGTTGGAACGCGAAGGGAAGA